ATTGGCCCGGCTTCGGCTTTTACAAATTCTATTCAAGTAGCACTCAGCAAAATTATTGTCAACTTTAATAACTTTCGATTTTAATTAATTTTTTTTTTTTACTTTTTTGGTGTAGACAAAATTTCAGAGTGATAGTGCATACAAACGTACATACATATGTATGTAAATATCACCGAGAGCCCACTTTGTCTCCACACGACAGTCAAACGCTTTACGCGTTCCACCTTAGTTTAAGTTTTGTTTTTGTTTTTGGATTTGCTTACTTTTAACTTTTATTCATACGTATAAGTACATACATATGTACATACTTATACTCGTATATACAAACGTACTGTTTGCATTGCAATTTAAGGCGAAGTGCGTCAATATTTGTTTGATATTCAAGCTCTGATTATAGATTTGTTTGGCCGGCTACCGGGAAACGTCATTAATATGTATGAAAACGTGCAACGCATGCGGTTAATTATTACATATGTATGTACATATGTACATGGATACATACATGAGCGCTTGTGCTAAAAGGGTGCATGTACATATAAGTACATACAAATGTAGGTACATTAGACCGTACCACCTTACAAGCAATCAAAAAAAGTTCGCCGTGTACCCTTTGTCTATAAAGTATTTTTGCAAAGCAATTTCGAAAATAAGTTTTTGGCCGAGTGTAGGGGTCACATTTACATTTTTCGTGGACACCAACGGAATTAAAAATAATAATAATTCTATTGTAAAAATCAAAATACTTCCTTAACAAAAGTTAAATGATGTTTGATGAACTTTAATTTACTGACATTAGTGGTACGTTAGGGCAGTAGAAACTCTGGTCTGTTGGGTGAGTACTGGAACGGGGTATTCGGGGTCAATGGACTTTGGTACAAAAAAATATTGTCCTCGAGACAAAAAAATCGATACATCATATCTTAAGATCCCACTGTAAATGCCATAGATATGAAGAAAAATGTAAAACGCGACTCCTATGTTCGACCTTACAAAAAAAAAATCGGGATTGCCTTCGAATCGAAATACTTCCTTAGCAAAAGTTTAATGATTTTTGGCGAGTTTTTATTTACTGACATTAGGGTGGTACGTCCAGGCGGTAGCAACTGTGGTCTGGTGGGTAAGTACTGGGTATTTGGGGTCATTGATCTTCGGAATAAAAAAATGGCCGCCTCGTGACGAAAACCCGGATATATCATACCTTGAGATCCGACTGTAAATTCGGAAAATATGACGAAAAATGTAGTTTTTTTTAAAAAATACTGTAGACTCAGGGGTGTGTGGCGACCGATACGGTCTAATGTACATACCTACGTATATACATTAGTGTGCGCCTTATTTTTCAACTTTGACTTACAAAGTATCTAAGACTTCACCTAGAAAAAATTTATTGGTCACAAAACCGTGCTCTGCGAAAAATGTTCAAATTCGGATAACAGAAAGATTAAAATAAACTTGTTTTAATGATTTATGTTTAGACAATTTTTTAATTTTTGTAAAGCTCCATGAATTTGCTCAACTTCGGGCCCTCTGAAGCACGTATTTCCGTTATCCGATTTTGAAAGTTTTTTGCCGGGCATGTTTTTATGGCCAAACAAGCCTACCTAGCGGGCTTTGCTTTTTAGTAGCTTCAAAAATTATTTTCTCTATACAAACAAGGCGCACACTAATGTTCATAAGTACATATGTAACGTGCTTTTTATTGCTATTAATGTAATTTTGCTTCTTAAGTAATTACCGTGTCATTGGCATTTACTACTTTTCGGTCAACGGGTCAAACTGACATCAAAAGGACATGACTGTTAGCTCCTAACTATAATTTGAGTGAGGTGTGGTGATTATACATACATATGTACATGCATATGTAGGTAAACATGTCGTTTCGAGGAACCATGATGTTTCATCAGGAAAGCTTAAAACGATTCCTGCAAATTCTTTAAAGTTTATGATATTAATGAAGCCAAGGTAAAGCACAAAGGATTGAGTATCGAGCAACGAAAGTGTATTGATCTAATGACGACAAGCGTTAGATGAATTCGAAAAAATCATATTCACACAGATCATCTATTGTACATATGTATGTATGTATATTATTAAGTCTGTGGTGGAAGAATTGATTTTGCCTCTAGTTTTGTTAAACGCTTTCGATGTCGTCTAAAGTCGGCACAACTGTATAAAATATCGAAACTAATTTTTGAAGTGCCGTTAACCTGTCAGTGCTGGTAAGGATGGCCAGCATAATATAAATTATTTAAAGATTATTTTATTCAAATTACTTGGAAGTATTTTTCATTTTTAAATTATTAAAGCTGTGTAATACGATTGGTACATTTGTACAGATTTGTACCTTTTTTATATTGGACTACAAAATAAAATTTTGGGACAAATTTTATTTTGTGTTCATACGATTGGTACAATGCAGCGAACCTCTATTGAAAAATTTTAGCAATTTGTTTTTCTTGATTGGGATAAAGAAAAATTATTGTGTATACACACGATTAGGATAGGACTTAGGCACACATTTGGGCACATGCTCAATCGTGTACCTTAAAATCTAAAATTTAAAATAAATTAAATTTAAAAAAGAACAAAAAGGAAATTTAAAAAAAATCTCTTAAAAAATATGAGGAATAAAAAAAGGTGAATCAAAAAAAAAAAAACATAAAATAAAAAGAGAAAACAATTAAATTAATAAATAAATTAAAACAAATATAATTAAATAAAAAAATAAATAAAAAAAAAATTACTTAAAAAAATAAATTCAAAAAGAAATATATTATATTAAAGTAGAAAAAAGTATATTAAATAAAAAAATTTATACTAAAAAAAGAAACAAAAAAAATGCCGCTGCCCGAGGATTCGAAGATTGGATCTCTCGAATGGCACGCCAGTGCTTTGCTCACTCGGCTATAGCGACTGTTGGAATTAATTTAATTTAAATTATTTAAAAATATTTTTTTTTAACAACAGAATCTAAGAATTAACAGGTTCCCTGTCCAATGAATCACATGTGATTCATGGGAACAGTTTTGTACCTTGTCTCACACGTCCATGAATCTTATATGAGCAAAATCAATGCTGACTTCAGATACATATTTCTACTTATTTTACAAAAAATATAGTGTTTTTGTGTGGAAACATACAAAACAGTTGTGGATTGAATATGATACATAGGACGTACCTTATCGAAAACTATTTCCCACCCTTATGTATAATAAATGAGAAATTAAATATTTTATTTTTTTTTTGCATAAGGGCATATAATCTACGCTCTTTGCATATTTTTATATGCAAATAATATCAAATCAGATAAAGAATCCTGAAACGGAACGGGGACGTATGCCATGAAAAAAGATGTATTGCATGAGGACAGGGAACCTGTTAAAAAAATAAATAATAAAAAAATTAAAAAACAAAAAGAAAAATTAATTAAAAGAAAAAAGTTAAGAAAAATTAAATAACTCAAAATATTTATTAAAAGAGAAAAAAATTACAAAAAAAATTCGCTTATCGAGAATTCGAACCTCGGACCTTTCGAATGGCACGCCAGTGCTTAAGTAAATTTGATTACTCGGCCGTTGGAGACACAATTCAAAAAATAAAACCCCTTACTATTGTTAAGTGGCTCTTGTCTCTAATCCTAATTATTATGTATAGATAATAAAATGAGGTTTGCACCTTGTGGTCTGTTGTGTCCTTCACTCTTCAGAATACCTCCTTTAAACCTGCATTCCTGAGAACGTTGAACAATACCTTTGGGAATAGGAAGTGAATGTGCTTAAGCTGTGACCACATTGAGCCTAAACTCTCTCACGTCTTCTGCAGACTGCATCACGCTCGGTGAGGATGTGTAGAGGTGTCTCGCTGGTAGAGTCGTCTTTTCAGCCTGTGAGGGTATCTGCTATTCCTCTAAGCTTCTCCTTTGGGAGGTCAATTAAACTTTGGAATCTCCTTTTGTTATACCCTCCCAGTAAACTCTTTGCCTGACACATTTCTGACGAACTCTCCCTCCTAAGCTCCTTCTTTAGAGTGTTGGGACCCACTCTTAGAAAGGGCTCGGTGCCAACTGGAATTCGGAAGTTTTGGAACTTTTTTCAGAAATTTACATCAGTTTTAGATAGACTTACGACTTTTTTTCTGGGATTTTAAGACCTTTTGGCATTTTTTAATATAATTCGGGGGTTTTTCGGTCTTGTTTGTTCCGAAAAAATGTTTGATTCTTTCAGGTGGGTTTCGGCATATTTTCAAGAGTTTTCGAATTTTTTCGTTTGGATTGTTTTTTGGAACTTAGACACAATTTATTCTGAGTCTTGTTTTCTGTGGTTTTATTTTGGCAATTTTGGGTGTTTTTGGGGACTTAAAATTTTGTTTTTTTCGCAGTTTTCATGGATTTAGTATTGTACGACCATTGTGACTTTTTGGTATGTATGACTTGCGACTTTTTCGGAACTTTCTGAAATTCTTTTGGCATAATTCGGAATTGTCTTTAGTATTTTTCGTGTTTATAACGTTACTCTTGAGAAAAATTTCGTGGACTTTTGAAAATTTTTCGAAATTCAAAGTATTTTCCAAAATTACGAGTTTTTTAGGTTTTTTTGTTGAATTTTTCGAGATTTTTTTTTCGTACTTTTCCGGGTTTTTAAGAATTTATTTAAAATTTATCGTTATTATTCGATTTGTTTTCTTTACAGGTCTTTTTTTGACTTATTGAAATTTTCGAAGAATTTTTTTTTTTTTAGAATCCATGACCTTTTGGAACTTCCTGGGATACTTTAAATTTTTTTCATGATATTATTTTATTTAGTCTTCGGGGAAAGATGTTGCATTATGTTAAGCAAGAAACAATTGATATTTGGGGAATTATTTTCGAGCCTTCGAGCCAGTTATAGAGATTTTTCTCGAACTGTCCTAAATGAATGAAAATTAGTTAGATTTTCTTACCACTTTGAAAAATAAATGCATATTCCTATATACATACTAACATCGCCTTATGCTCCTTCCAGATCACTACCAGCTCTGTGCTGCACATCAAAGTACTTGACCACTCCAGTTTTCGCAAGGACACTTTGCTAGGCGAGCGCACCATCCACTTGGCGCACGTGCTGCAACAATTTAATGGCAGATGCGAATTTCTTGAACTTACAATGGATCTGATAGCCACTTCCAAATCAGATAATCGGCAAACAAAAGTCGGTGAACTTGTCGCAGTGCTCAACGGACTCAAGCTGGACATGCCCGGCGCGGTGCAACAAAATGGTAATGGCGTATCAATGCTGCCACCTCCCAACGAAGGCGCTGTGTTGCCGCCTGCTGCCGGTCGCAGTTACATGATACAAGGTGGCATACGTGCGCGCATGCGCGTGCGCAGTATCGAAAATGGCATGCTAGCCGCATCAGCAGCTTCGGCAGGGAGTGGAGGTAGCGTGTCACACATGGCAGTTGCCTCCAGTGGTAGCTCACGTTCGCCCATAGCCAATGGCAATTTGGAACGCTGCAGCAGTGGTAGTTCACAAAATGGTGCGGTGCGACGTGCTGCCCCGCCACCACCCGTTTGGGAACAACAACAGCCAATGCCACAAGCACAGACGCAACATGTGGCGCTACAACAACAGCAACAATTGCAAGCACAACAACAACACCAATCACAAATGCAAGTGCAGCGCATACCGTCGATGAATGGCGGCGCAGTGGCGGTGAATGCTGCCGGCGTGCAAGTGCGTCCAATGTCGCAAATGTATGCGAATGGTGGTGTTAGTGGTCAGCCATTACCGCTGCCACTGCCGTCACAGCAACAGCCGCAAACACAGCAGCAGCTTATGGATAGTGCGCTGATGAGCGCGGCAGGCGATCAGGCTGCACTGTTGGCGCAAGCGCCAATGCCGGTATCCAATGTGACTGATCAGCAGTTGCAAGTGAGTAGCAGTAGTTTTTAAACATTACTTTTATTTTGTACTTTAATTAAATGCATTTTTTTTAACGGTACACACAGGCCGCCCAAGCGGACGATGAACCGCTGCCTGCTGGCTGGGAAATACGCTTCGATCAGTACGGCCGCCGCTATTACGTCGACCACAATACGCGTTCCACCTACTGGGAGAAACCGACGCCACTACCGCCCGGTTGGGAGATACGCAAAGATCCACGCGGCCGCGTCTACTATGTGGACCACAATACGCGCACAACCACCTGGCAGCGACCGAACAGCGAGCGTCTTATGCATTTTCAACATTGGCAAGGACAGCGTGCGCATGTCGTAGCACAGGGTAATCAACGTTTCCTCTACTCACAGCAACAACAACAGCCTACAGCGGTGACAGCCACGGTGACGCAAGACGATGAGGATGCCTTGGGACCGCTGCCCGATGGCTGGGAAAAGAAGGTGCAATCGGATAATCGTGTATACTTTGTGAATCACAAGAATCGCACGACACAGTGGGAGGACCCGCGCACGCAGGGTGAGTAGCGCATAAAAGCTATAGTACTAACATTCTAGTAGTGTCAAATGATTTCTAAATTCTCGCTCGCTTTTGCTTTCTCTCGCCAGGTCAAGAAGTTAGTTTAATGAACGAGGGTCCACTACCGCCCGGCTGGGAGATACGCTATACCACTACAGGTGAACGCTTCTTTGTCGATCACAATACACGTCGCACCACCTTCGACGATCCACGTCCGGGCGCACCCAAAGGCGCTAAAGGTGTGTATGGCGTGCCACGCGCCTATGAGCGTTCGTTCCGTTGGAAGCTCTCACAATTCCGCTACCTCTGCCAGAGTAATGCTTTGCCGTCACACATTAAAATAACCGTGACACGACAGACGCTCTTCGAAGATTCATACCACCAAATTATGCGTTTGCCTGCCTATGAGCTGCGACGTCGCCTCTATATCATTTTCCGTGGTGAGGAGGGTCTCGACTATGGTGGTGTGTCGCGTGAATGGTTCTTTTTGCTATCACATGAGGTGCTCAATCCCATGTATTGTCTCTTCGAGTATGCCAACAAAAACAACTATAGTTTGCAAATCAACCCGGCCTCGTATGTGAATCCAGATCACTTGCAGTATTTCAAATTTATTGGCCGTTTCATAGCGATGGCATTGTATCATGGTCGTTTTATATATTCCGGATTCACAATGCCCTTCTACAAGCGTATGTTGAACAAGAAATTGACTATAAAAGACATTGAAACCATCGATCCGGAGTTTTATAATTCGCTTATTTGGGTGCGTGACAATAATATTGACGAGTGTGGATTGGAGCTTTGGTTTAGCGTCGACTTTGAGGTGCTTGGACAGATAATACATCATGAATTGAAGGAAAATGGCGAAAAAGAACGAGTGACGGAGGAGAATAAAGAGGAATATATAACACTCATGACTGAATGGCGGATGACGAGGTAAGGGAGTTAGATTACTTTGAACGTGAGAGCAGTTAATCGCAATTTTGTGTGAAAAGCAGAAATAAAAGCTACCAAAAGGTTTAGGTAGCGTCACGAAAATTCAGAAAGAGTAAGTGAGAAGCAAAAAGAAGAACAGAAAAGATTAAAAAATAGTATGAAAGAAAAACTAAGTATTGGTGAGTTAGTTTTACTGGATTGTAGAAATCACTGGCCACTGGCAGAAACGCAACACCGAGAAGATCGCTCACTGATCTCATACTTTATTATCTAGAAATATTTATTTTTTAATTGGGTTTCAAAATTGTAATTCTCAAGCCTCATACCTTGTGGTTGACTCCCTATTTGACCTAAGAGCAGTAGAGGTTCATAGGTGCCGCTGGTCTTTGCATATGTTGTTTCTAACCGACTCGGAAAAGTGTAGATCAACGCTGCTGCAAGCTGTTGTTCAAGGAATTAAAAGCGATTACTAGGGTTCGCCGATCAAACAGGATTAGATTAGCGAAGCAATAGCCGTAGGTCGGCTAAAACCCGAGTATTTAAAATTCTTAGAACCGACAAGTATTGAAATGATCAGTTTAAGAGAACTTTAGCTCAGAGTCTCTTTAAAAGATGATAATCTTTAAGGAATGTAATCTGTAGAATTATACTAATTCATAATACTAAACAAAAAATCCATTTTCAGAGGTATTGAGCAGCAGACAAAAACGTTCCTGGAAGGCTTCAACGAGGTGGTGCCGCTCGAATGGCTTAAGTATTTCGACGAACGTGAATTGGAGCTCATATTGTGCGGCATGCAAGATGTAGATGTGGATGATTGGCAACGGAATACGATTTACAGGCATTACAATCGCAACTCCAAGCAAGTGATGTGGTTCTGGCAGGTGAGTTAGCGTCTCGTAAAGAAAAAGTGCAAATGTTTTCAAACATTTCCTCAAATATCTAACATTGCAATTCTTTTTTCACACCAGTTTGTGCGCGATACGGACAATGAAAAGCGTGCACGCTTGCTGCAATTTGTTACGGGTACGTGTCGTGTGCCCGTCGGCGGTTTCGCTGAGTTAATGGGCTCCAATGGACCGCAACGCTTTTGCATTGAAAAAGTTGGCAAAGAAACATGGTTGCCGCGTTCGCATACCTGCTTCAATCGTTTGGACTTGCCGCCGTATAAGAGTTACGATCAGCTAGTGGAGAAATTGACATTTGCCATTGAAGAGACTGAAGGCTTCTGCCAGGAGTAGAGCGGAAAGCGGCGAGTAGTGACCATTGTGGACAAGGGAGTAAAGAGGACGCCGAAGCAGTTGTGGGCGGCGCTCTTGTTGAGTGTGTGGTGTAATTGGCAACCAAATAAAGGTAGCAGGAATGGAAATGTTATATTTATGTTTAATGTTATATTGTAATTGTTATGCAACGAAATTCGCGCGTACTAATGTATGTTACGGACATTTTTATATTTTAGTTTGTTTCTTTTTTTTATACAAACTTATAATACCTACTAGATGCATACTTATAAATCGACTTGCGTGTGCTTGTAGCCATTTTTTCATTTGAGCTAAATTTTCATTAATGCGCATCGGTTGTTGTTGCTATGCCTATTTTCAAATGCATATCAAAATTTCTTTAATTTTTTGAGGAATAACATAAAAACCATAAAACAACTATAAGCGCTTGTTTACTTGTATTAGTTATACATAAATATTTATAGCAGAAATATTATTACCGTTTTAGAAATTTGCAATATGTATATACATAAACGTATTTGTGTGTGTATTCGTAAGAGTTTTTGCGCATAAACGAGTTTAATTGAATTATATTGTAGAAACATAAATACATAATATATACATATTTGTGTGTATGTAGGCAGATGCTGTGCGCTCAAACTTATGCACATATTTAGTATGTTTGTACGTGCAAGTGTCTTACCTATGTATCAGTAACGTTGCCGTCTTGCAGAGAGCATATTCTCCTTCCTAACTTTAATTTAATTAATTTCGTTCATTAGCATACATTCATAGATATATATTTTTTGTGTAAATTCTATTAAATTGGTTTAATTTAATTTTAAATTTTGTATATAGCACACAACTAATAAATATATACATGTTAATTTACTTACAGACATACGTTTAGTAGCTATTTATGGTACATACATTTATGCATATACGTACATACAGTGGTGGTGAAAACATATGGAATTGAAACGATTCTTTTCGAAAGGCTGGCTGGCAAAAACTGTGTGTCTATTAGTTAAGTTTAATAGCTTAGATTTGTCATTACAACTTTCATTTTCCCAAAGAAGTTAACGTAAATAATAATTCAATGGTTAAAACATGGCATAAAAACCAAAATGATAAAATTTCATTTTGTAAAATTAAATTTATTTGAATATCCGTTATATGCAAATGCAGCCTCAAAAGAAGAAGTAGCTTTCCACGCGTCATCCAGCACAGCAGATCCATTTGTTTACAACTTTGCAAAAGTTTCCAATTGATTCGAGATTTGATATTTGGGACGGCGATTATAAAATTTCACTAGGCGTACGTTCGAAGTTATTACCGTGTTGGTAAAGACAAAGAAATCGTTTCTATTCTTCGTTGTTGTCGTGGCCAAAAATTACACATTTCTTAAATAGTTTTTGGGGAGTGATGCTGGAGTGACCGCTGGCCAGCTATATATAAATCTAGCTCTTTTCGATTACGTAGACCCGACTGTTATCTATTCTTCGTGGCAGTGAAGCATAACAACTTCTAAATATTCTTTAGAAATCCATTGCCCGATTATGTAATAAATTTTGTTTAATATACACATTCCTGCAGTAGAAAAACACAGTCACACAACTTGCTCTCTGCACCATGTTATATCGTCTTTATGAAGTAGGGTATTTAAGGCTTTTTATTTAGATACTAGTCTTCTTAAAACAGCTACTACTACTGCTGTCAAATATGATTTTCAGTGCAGTGTATTAATTTTTGCCAATTTTTACTAGTAACGTGTTTCCACTAAGAAGTTAGTGGTGCATTTGGTAAGCGGCATGCTTGTGAGGAGACCTTTAACAGGCGACAGCCTGTGGCGAGTACTTTTTCGTTCACTGAAAGTCCCTTTTTGCTTTTAACCTAGGGAAAAAATACTTAAACTTGAAATTTTTTGTGTGCTTTCTGCGCTGCTGTAATTTGGTTTTAAGACATTCGATTGTAAATTTCTTTTTCTCGATCCCTCGTACTCCGAGCCAAAAAATTATGGATTTAATTTTACTGAAATAGCAACCCAATTTGTAAACTAAGCGAGAAAACTTCCTGCAAAGTAGTGGCGTTGTTTACTAGTTTTGCAAGTAAAATCTTTAAAAGCTTCAGTCATTTCAGGCAGTTGCATATCAAGCCTTAACTGCCAAAAAACGTAAGAAACCTTTACACGATTTTCATTTTGATGCAGAAATGCATCTACATGCTTTAGGAACATTTCTGCGTCAAAAATAAAACTTTGGAAAAAATGTCGCTTACCTTTTTGTTATCGGTTAGGGCTCGATATGTTTTGACCATGCTTGTTCCAGGTTCAATAGTGTATGTGTGGATATGTCTTAAGCGAATAGTAGTTTTTGTACATTTCAAAGTGCAATGAGCCTACTAAATATCATTCTTAAAAAGGCTATAGCAGCAGTATTTCTCAAATAAGCCATTGGTCAGGTATATATAGAAATTTAAAAAAAAAAAAACAGATGTAGTTCCATATATTTTGACCACCACTGTATATGTATGTATATAAACATATGTACATACGTATGTGTAGCATTAAAGTAAGCAAAATTAAAGCCTTAAAATTAAGTAACTATTTTAATAAAATTATTGGCAAAAGACATTTAGCAGCCGCTGTGAGGAAACAGATATTCAATGCAAAATTTTAAAATTGAAAGTCAAATATAAAAAAAAAAAAATAAAAATGGCAATTAAAATATTTTTAAAGACATTACTAGTATGGTAGAGCATCTAATGTTCGTAAAGCAAGAGACAAAAACATTAAATAAATAAGCAACTACATACTATATCCAAGGTGGCGCACAAGTAATCAATCGTTTCGTATAAAACCGCGTATTTCCAACTGTTCGACCACACCTATTTCCTAACTTGAATAGCAAAAAATGTATAACTCAATATACATATATCTTATTACGAGATTTTTTGTTTACCGTTGCATGCGATTACTTTTGAGCCACACTATGTAACTGACACGAATATGTTAAAAAAATGAGTAAAAGAACTAAAAAAATAACCCACACGCCAGCAAACAAATTTAGCAAATTGTGTTAGTAGTGAAAAAAAACAAACAAGCAAAACAAATATAAATATATCGTGAAGAAATTGATACACCGGCAAACCTACTGTTAAGTCTTAACCATATTAAACGAGAAAAAAATACTTAAATAATATGCAGAAATGTTTAAATAATATACATAGCTATGTATGTATGTGTAGTAGTGTTGTTAAAGAATTTATAGCAGAAAAAATAAAGCAGGAAAACATATGGCAACAACTAAATATTAGATACCACAAAGTAAATCAACTAAATGAAAATACTTAATGAAATAAAAACGGGAGGAAAAACGATATGCAGCGTGTATGTGTGTGCGAAAAGTATACAAATCAAAAAGTAATAACCAAAACATGGCAGATTTAGTTATTTATGTTTGTACATTAGGGTAGTGCTTAAAATATCAACACCTAAATTTTTTATGGAACACCCCTTTATTTTGTTCTACGTACAAATTAAAGATAACCACGAAAATTTAGAAAATAAAAAAAGAAAAAATTGGCGTCGCTGCGAAGGTTTGAAAAAATTTAATTTTATTTTCTAATAGCAAAATCCGAAAAATTTTTTACTTGAAGTCTGATAAGTTTGATATATTATAGAAACTTATTCTAATCAATGCATAAGCTCACTGATTAAAGCCGGTTAAAGTCACAATTTTGTCGAATTTTAGCGATTTAAAAAAACTTGAATTTTTTCAAACATTGGCAGCGACCACATTTTTGCTTTTTTAATTTAAAAATTTTCGTGGATCTCTTTATTTTATACTAGAACAAAACAAGGGGGTGCTCCATGATGTTCATATTTTAAGGACCACCTTAATACGCAAGCAATTATATATTCAAAGAAATCGCATATACACCGCATACACGTACATATGTACATACATATGTACGTGCATACTTACATGCATACATATATATGCTATAATTTTATGGAAACCTATAGTTTTTATTTAGTTTATAATGAGAAATATATAATTGTATTATACAGATTAAAATAAAGCAGCTAAGCTTTAATGGAAAAACTTGACATAGAAAGAGAGAGAGAGAGCGAGAGAAAGAGAGATCAAGTGTGCATGATTCGCAAATCATTTCAACGAGTAAGCGAGCAATAGAGAGAGAGAGCGAGAGAGCTAGCGATAATGCTGTTGTAATAAGTTCTAATTAAAATTACAAATAAATAAATAAAGAACTATATTATTAGAAAAAATTTAGACTTGCAGCTTTTAATATCGATTTGTCACAGAGAAGGAATTGTGCTGCTTTTTGATGTGTGGACATATTAGGTCTCGGTATGGTAAAATTTGCTTTAACCCAGCAGAAAATTTGTAATTGATTCTTGATTGTACAAATGAATATTTCTGGACTAGTTCAGGGCTACTTCAGTACCATTTCAAGATCATTACGGGACTTGTTTAGGACTATTTCGGGACTAGTTCGGCCAGCATTGAAGGAAGTGTTCAGGCCCATATCGGGAATAGTTCGCAACTGTTTGTGCACCATTTTGGCACTAGTTATGAACCATTTCGAGAAATGTTCAGGACTATTTAGGAACATTACGGGACTAGTTCGGGAATATTTTGGGCGTAATAATGGGCCATTTCGGAGCCGTTTCAATACTAGTTCAAGATCATTTCGGAAGCTGTTCAGGACTATTTCAGGACCACTTCAGACCTAGTTCTGGGCCACTTGAGACTAGTTAATTACTTTTTCGGGTTTATTTCGGGACTGGTTTAGGACGTTCGGGACCATTTCGGTACTAGTTCAGGACAGGATGCCATCCCAGCCTCGAGGGAAATGGTGTTCCGCGCGCTCAGGCCGTTCCCTACGGACAAACGATAAAAGGATGCCGCAAGGGGGGCGGGTGAGCGGCTGTCCTCTCGTGCGGAGCCGTGGATTTAGAAAACTTAACCTAGCCAAAAGTAAGTAAAGATGTGGTCTTAAATATCAATCCCTCTAAAGCAGCCCTTGCCCCCTTCACCAAGAAAAGAACTTCCAAGGGAACGAGGAACTAGACCTTGGATGGGTTCGCAGTCGGCGTCGTCACAGAAGTAAAGTATCTGGGACTTTTCCTGGACTCCAAACTGCTGTGGAGGACTCATGAAGTTGAGGCGGCCACTTCCAAGGCAATGAGAGCGCTGATGGTGCGTAAACGTTCAGCGGGCAAATGATGGATGTACACGACGATAGTACGACCAATAGTAACATATGGGGGTTGTGGACTGGACTTCCGGGACTAATCTGGTAAAGGTGAGGCAGACCTTTACCATAATTCAACCTCTGGCGTGTGTTTGCATGAAGGGGGCAAAGCACACATCCCCGACGGCAGTGGTGGAGGTAATTTTGCAACTCGAGACTGCATCTTTCAATTGAACAGGATGCAGAGCGAACTCTCCGGAATTTCGCGAGAGAGGACTTTTAGGCTCCCAGCTCGCTCTACTTCTAGTCCCCAGTCCTTGAAGACGTTAGAACGTAGGTCAGTCTTACATAGCCTTCAAATATGTTGCACAGCCCGGCTCTGGTCTTCTGACCCGCCTTCAGCAACATCGCAGGAAAAATACCGTTCAGATCCGCTGACGTAAATATCCTGCGAAAACAAGCTCAACGCACACTCACGTCTGGATGGCGACATCACTTCTCTTGCAAGACTATCCCCTCCTGCTGTGGATGCTGCATCGTCAGGTACACCACCTCGATTCTCGACCGCAGGGATGTGAATCTGAAATAATTAGCCTCATCGCGTACGTCGTAAATGAGACTAAAAAGCACGAGTCAACAACATTGGCATTGGCTATTGTCGTGGTGAAATAAGTAGACGACGAAAACTACCCAGTGCGGCTAAGTTTTCCCATTTTAATACACCAGTCGAATCGAATTTTTAGGCAATGCCATATACTTTTGGATACGACTCGACTCTCGAAAAACGACGTGCATTCGACACCACACTCGCAATGAGGCTGAATATATCGAGATATTCCTCGGTACTTTGAGTTCATTCGCCGTTGTCCTTTGAGCCTTGGCCAGCACCTAGATAATGGAAAAAAACGGGAATTTCATGAAAATATTGGGTTTAGTGACCCGTACTAACTCGCTGGTGGGAGTTAGAGTTACGCCGCAATGGGCACTTTTGTAGAGCATTCAATTCTGAAGAAAAACCATCATTGATCATGGTTATATTATAAAATGCCTCGGAGCTATAGAATTTTGAAGAAAAACAATCAAAGTTTACGTGTATGTTGAACGGGAAATCTTTGCACGCCTTTGTCGAGCACTTAAAATTAATATTAAGGGTTCACATTTTCAGGGAACTTGGTTTTAGATATTTCCCACAAAATGTCGATTTTGGAGTAAAAAAAAAAAAAAAAAAGATTGGCCGAAAAAAGCACCGTAGTACGTAATTTAACGTCCATTTTTATGGGAGATCTTTTCGACTATGCGCCTATAGCACAGAAAGATTCTACGTGTAATTCTAAGCAAATTTGACGAAGAAATCATGGGTCTAAAATCAATTTGGAGTTTGCCAAATTGCGAAAATAGCTTTCTTACAGTTTTGCTGTAGTGTTGTACAGAAGTGCTTAAATTAAAAAAAAAAAACATGCTACAAGGAGACTTTGGTATGAGGAATCCATTTCTGCACTATAATTTTTCTTAAATCTTCCACCAGAGGGCGCAACACATAACATTTTCACATTTTCTTCGAAAACTATTTTCGCATTTGGCAAACGCGAAAATGATTTTAGAACCATGGTTTCTTAGCAAATTTGTTTAGAATTACAATTCGAATTCTGCTATGTTATACGCGTATACTAAAAAAATTGACCCGCCCTAATGTACATAACATATGTAAATATTGAATGCTATTTTATTGATACATGAACACTTCAGGTCATTTGACATCAAATGCAGAAGTTATGTTAGAATTTACTAGAGTTATCAACTCATAAATACAACAAAATACGTATGTAGTCATACATTTTAGAATGTGTGAAATACGAATTTCTGAGATAGTATTTTAAAATGTTTCAACTAACATTTTAATTAACAAATTTACATTGGCATGCGTCAAATGAAAATGAATACATATATGTATTCAAAGACATTCCTGTGTGCTTAATTAAGGCATACATCTAATTCCATTAGGCTGGCTTACATTCTATTTATAGAAAATCTTTATTTTGTCGGTTTGAATTTTAAATGCAGTCCTTTAAGTGAACTTTGAATGGACAGAGGGCCGAATTTTGCACACTACATTTTCTTCCGACTGTGCAGATTTTAGGCAACTATAGGCAACCCTCAATGCTTTGCAGTCGCGCTCAAAAATTACCCTAATTTAAATTTCATTGAGACATGCCAATGTTTACTAGTATGGGAAGTACATTTCCTAAGAGCGCCAACCTGTCAACCAATGGACAAATTAAAATAAGGCTTGTTATTTATGTGAAAGTATATTTATATCTACAAATAATTACAAATTTCTAACTAATAATTGCACAAGTAAATTGTATTTCGTACATTTAATTTTCTTCATAAGCAAATTGTAGACTCTGATAAATGATTAATCGAACATTATTATTTCCATTGAAATGCACACACTTGCTTTTGGTTCACAAAATAGTGTGTACCTATGTACATGCAGACATATTTATATAAGACTATGTATGTGGTAAACATGCATGTGTGTGCACATTAGGGTGGTAAAAACAAAAAACGAAGTCGCACATGTTAAGCTCGCACTCCTTAGTATTTTTTTTAAATGGAAGAAGGAACTACCGTATTTTTTTTTGTAAAAAAAAGAAGATATTTAGAACTGCCTCAAAGCCCATGAAGTTTTTCATGTATTTTATATGGCGAAAAAAACACCTTTTCGTTGAAATGTTATTGAATTCTTGAAAATCAATATTTTCCGATAAGAAAACTTTGTTACTCTTCAGGAAACTTCTAATAATAATACCCAATTTTTTATTTTATAAATATTTTTTATTAACACTAACGATGTTTCATGGGTCCCCTATTGCATTTGTTGGGGTTTAGGGGGAGGGCCTATAAAAATAGTATTAAACAAATGTTTAAATATACAATTGGGTATTGGTATTGGAAGTGTCCTAAAGAGAAACAGAGTTTTCCGATCTAAAAATATCAAATTTCACGAATTCTATATCATTTCTACGAAACAGTTTTTTTTCCCATATAAAACAGATGGAAAACTTCATGGGCTTTAAGGCGTTTCTAAAATCCTAGGGGGTGATAGCTTAACATTTTGAACTTCCACCACCCCCGCATGTATTTTTGGACCACCCTGATATACATATTTAGGCATATTTATTGAGCATTCAGTACCTATTAATAACAGTTATATATGCAACGACAATCAATTTCAAATACCAAGCCTTAACATACTGTCAAATGCAGATGCATTTTCATATAAGTACTTACAATATTCAAATGTATACATACGTACATATACATACATATGTATGTACATATGATTGTATGTTTGTAAAGATATACTACTATTTAGAACTTTGTATGAACTTCAAGTGAACTGTATGTGAAATGAGCAGTAATGAGGGCGTTCATGAAATGAGTTTAATGAGCTGTCTACATTCATTTTTTTCATATAGACGAAACTAATAAATACGAGTATACTGACAGGGACTGCCAATAAAAGTTATTTCAAGCGGTTGAAATCAAAAAGACTTCTACTTATATTATAGTTAAATGTGAAAGTTTGTTAGATAGTGTGTGAGTAGATATGTATGTTTGTTGCTCATTTACGCTAAAATGGCTAAACGTATTTCAATGAAATTTGACACACGGATACGATATGATGTGAATTAACATATAGAATATTTGTTAAGAGAGTTACCGCATAATGGAAAAGTTAAAATCAATTAATTAATTGATTAAATGATGTATTACAACAACGTGCTGTCAAGTGTAAAGCGTTCCGATGCAATTTATTTCGAAAATGTTTTAGTATGGGTTGCCACCAGTTCAAAAAGCTTAAATCAGTTAAATTGACAATGTATAGCAAATATTTTAGTGGCTTAGGTATCAAACGTCAAATCGGCTTGCTCCTATTTATGCGAACTGCGTGTGGACCGGTTACATATCCAAGGCTTGGAGGGTAATCGGGTTTGCGCTCATCCCGATGGCCGAAAAGGGCTTTCATGTTCGCAATAAGGATTTTAGGCCAATCAGTCTGTCTTAGTTT